CACACACACACACACACACACACACACACACACACACACACCACTAAGTTTGGCATGGCCCTCCTGTCCTTAATATTATTATTATAAAACTTTGCAGCCAATGGCTGAAATGAGTCAAATATTACAATATTAGTACTAACTATTGATTTACAACTAAGGATGATAAAACTATTTATAAGATAAGACTACAGTTAAAACTGTGCAGTAAGTAAAAGTAATTACATAGGGCCAAGTAAAATTAATGTTTACTCCCTTGTTAGTTAGTTTCACACATGTTTTCAAAGTTTCACAAAATTGCAAGCTAGAGTAAGAATTATTAAAGTGCCTATATCATGGTTTTGGAGTTTGCATATCTCGAAAGTTTAGGGTATTTTAAGACACTTTGCAATATATTTTGTTATTCAAAATTTCATCTTGATGCATTTATTAGCTATTAAAGTTACCGGACATGACGTCAAAAGGAGAATTGCAAATCAGTTTTCCTTTGTATTATTGCAACAAACTTCTCCTTTTGACGTCATGTCCGGTAACTTTAAGAGCTAATAAATCCATGAAGATGAAATTTTTCAAAAACAAAATATATTGCAAAGTGTCTTAAAATACCCTAAAACCAAAACCATAATATAGGCACTTTAAAAACCTTGTCCATTGGGAATGAAAAAAAGATTATTGTAAATATTATTGGGAAAGCCTAAGTGCACTTGTCAAGTATGTAGTATTACTGTACTGTGTTATATAGCAAAGTTAGTAATAGTTACCTTCATGAAAATGTTCTTGCTGAGTACAGTACAGTAGTTCAATTAAAGGTTCACATTACAGAAAAAACTGCTCTTATTTAATGACCCTTCTCCAGTTTCATCTTGGGTGCCATCATCCATGTCTTCATCCTGTGAATCCATCATTGAAAACAAACTTGAGTCATCATGAATTTCATCCCAATCCATAGTGCCAAATAGTTCTTCACACATTGAGTCAGACAAATCTGGAATATTACCAATGTCACCAAACACCTCATCAAGAACTTTTAATACTCCACATGCATGTTGTTCACGCCACACTTCAACATACTTCTTAACATCACAAATAGTAAATATTTTGTTACTGTTTTCAATAACACTAACGATTTGTGTATTCCCAAATTCAAGTAGAACAGTTGGTAATGACACTGTGTTACTCAATTGTTGTGTTTGTTCTTTTATTAGACGATTCCTAAAATCTTTCAACTTGGCTTTTAAAAGATTTTTCTGCTCATGACTGACAGGTCTTGTTTTTCCAGTGTTTTCATCTGAGGTCATAGTCTTTGAGTCTGGAATATTTAGTCCAATGTTTGACTTACAATCATCTTCACCACATTCACATGCGATTGCACAATTGTCACAACAACTGTGTCTATTTGATGCAACATGCTGGTATCCAAATGCTTTCATGAGCAATTCTCTTCTGCATGTCTTGTCACTACGAAGAAACTCCTTCATGTCTTGTGTACAATGTGTAGAAAGCAGGCCATTAAACAATAATATACACTTACTTTGGCACCCATCCCTTCCTGCACGCCCACTTTCCTGGATATAACATTCAATATTCTTAGATGGCCCAAAGTGAATAATTCTGCTAACCTGCTTACAATCTACACCCATTCCGAATGCAATGGTTGAGATAAGTATTCTAATATGACCATCTCCTTTGGACATATCTTTTGAAATGTGCCTTTTTACTGGTTCAGGTGTTCCAGCATGGTACATATCTACTAAACGACGTTTACAGTTATGCACAGCATCCTGATAAAGTAAATTACCCAAACCAGTTTCGAATACTCGGTACAAGACTGCACATTGCTTCCGAGTTTGACAGTAAACAATTGTCCTTACTGCCCTTATACCATTACTTTTCACATCCTTGATTACCTCGGTGAATAACAAATCAAGTGGAATATTTTTATCCATATACTGCAATGTATACTGTAGATTTGACCTATCAGGTGATTTTGACACCACTGCAGTAGTATTGCTTAACTTCAAACTTTCATAGATAACAGCCCTGGTCTCTTTGGTGGCTGACGCTGTTACCACAAGCATGTTTACATCATCTGGGGAAAGTGATCGCAATTCTCCAAGGTTCCCATACCAACTTCTGAATGGAAGTTCACTTCGTCTAGCACCAGGCAAACCCCTTTGAAACAAGACAAAACAGAAACACATAATGACCTTGGCTATCCATACTTTGTCTTTTGCCTATATTTTATTATATAGTCAAGGAGTCCGCTATCAGATAGTTAAAGGTGCAACCTGTGTTTACTTGTATCATGGTACCTTGTTGGCTTGTTTAGTTGTTTATAGATTAATGATACTTTGGATTACTTGAAAATATGTATGTAGGTAGGTAATAAATTAACATCAGTTATCTTACCATTGACTAATACAATGAGCTTCATCCACGGCAATACACACCAATGATTCTCGAAATTTCTTGCTCCCAAATATTCCTCTCCAAGTTGATTTGAGAAAGCATTCAGGTGATCCATATACGTGTGTGTACTGACCATTGATGATACCTTGAACAAGTCGATCGTCGTGTTGGTCTGATACACAGACGGCCGATAAACCTAGTTTGTTTAAATGTCTAACTTGATCTTCCATGAGGGCTTTCAGTGGAGAAATAACCACTACTATACTGGTTCCCGTGCTTCTTCGAAAGAGAATATCAGCCATTATTGGTGCAGCTTGGAATATAAGCGATTTTCCATACGATGTAGGGAGATTAATAAAAACATCTCGCTTCGAAAATAATTGAGCAAGGGCCTCTTCCTGTTCTTTATACAAAGAAGGTACTTGAAATACATTTAATACCTTATTAATTGCACATTTCCATAAATTGTAGCCGTATTGAATTTCCGCCATCTTGATAATTTATTCAACATGTTTCATTATAGAGCAATGAGCCAATAAAAACGCACAATACATGCAATTTTAGAGTGACCAATGACATTCTGTTATCTAAATCTCGACTAACGATCTGACGTCACGAGGCAAGATTAGTGACGAATGTTCTCAGACGAATATAATTCGTTATTCGTCTGACACTCAGGCTACGATATTCAAGCAAAATATAAGAATAATGCAGTAAACTATCTTACAGTAAACGATAAGGGCAAATTTAAATGGATTAGTTCCTTCGAAGAACTTAAAACATTAATGAACGAGCTCACAGAGAAGGATTTAAAATGGACATCGCCGGGTGGCCATTGTAAATTGTTAGAATTAGACGAAGCCGAAATCAGATGGTATTCGAACAATAAATCATTCACTATTAGCGGAAAAGCAAGCGATGATATTAAGTCTCAGCTACGGATTCTTGCTGACTTATCTCACGACGACGGTAAAGACGCCGTGATCGATGGCGTTCGAAGCGAAGGCTGTGAAACCGGGCATAGCGAAGTCATTGATGAAAATGAGTCTAGGGAGTCAAATGGAGCAAGTAATTGTAAACATACGGTGTGTCAATGCCCAGTTCGCGAAATTGTTGCTGAACTTAAAGGTATGAAGCATGAAATTGCTATTTTACAATCTCTTATCCAATCGACTGTTATTAATAATCAAGTACCTGACAATGGTAGTGAGATTTCCAGGCCAGAAGCTGAGCACCAATCTGTTATTGATGATTTGAAACTTAAAGCATCTATTCAAATTGCTGACATTAAAAGCGAAATTGTTAAGCTTAGTGCTGAGCATCAATCTGTAATTAAAGATCAAAATCTTAAGTATACAATTCTAGAACAGAGATGGTTAAAAGCAGAAGAGGAGAGAGACTCTTTGCGTTCGGTCCTTAAAATTGTTGTTCAGGAGAAAGACAGGGTAAATGTTTCTAATTTGCAGCCTGAATACAGCTGTGTCGGTGATCCCTCTGTCCAACAAAACAATTTAAAAGCCCATAGTATGGTTAATAATTCAAGTTCTGCTATGCAAATAGACCTCACAAGCAGTGATGATTATCATAGTCAGCAAAGGGACTTAGGAGTTCATCCCACTATTCAAATTACTCAAAAGCCTTTGTATTCAGCCACCCAAACCTCTGAAAACAATATACCTCGCCTGGTCCCAGGTGGTCAACCATGGATTTCTAGAAGGTATGATCAATTAAATGTCAGCAACAGAATCAATAAGCCAACTCCAATTAGTCGTTACCCCCAAAATTCTGCTGCCTCAATTTCTAGAACCATACCTGATCAGTATCTTGTTGATCAGCCTTGTTTACATAATGGCAGTAATCAGGAGTCGATTCATCAGTTAGCGCATGGGCAAGTCAACTCCGATGCTTCCAATAAGAATATGATTAACAACACCAATGCATTAAACTGCAACCCAAGTCCCCACAGGCACAGTCCATCTATTGATGTCAATTCTACTGAATCTAGAGTAACTCACCACCCTCCTAGTCCATCCAACTCACGTGATCAATCAACTATGATTAGAGATAGGCATCAACCACCTATGCCACCTCACCGTACCAATATTTCTATATTGGGAGACTCAATGATAAAGCGTGTTCAATCTCGGAAAATTCGGCGGGCCGTCAGTACTAGTAAATCTGTCTACATCCGCTCTTTTCCGGGTTCAAAATCTTTAGATATGACAGACTTTGCAAGAACAACTATGAGGAACAACCCGGACCACATTATAATACATATTGGTACAAATGATGTACGCCAAAGTAATCCAGAAGATGTCATTAGAAATGTTGAAAACGTGTGCAATCAGATCAAAGACCAATGTCCCCGTACTACCATATCACTATCGGAACTGATTGTTCGCAATGACTTTCCTGATGCTACAACTAAGATCAGCAAAATTAATAATGAACTGCTATGCCTTAGTAGATCTAAAGGCTATTATCTAATTAATAATTCACACATCATTGTGCAAAATCTTGATAGATATGGCCTTCATTTAAATGGTAGTGATGTTGACACTCTTACTAACAACTTTATAAATCATATTAATTGTTTTTAGCGATTCTCAATTAGTCACTTTCTCCTACCTCAATTGCTGCAATGACAACGACATTGCTGACCTGCTCTCGTCCAATGTTAACGATTCCTCTTTTACTATTCGTGATGAAACCTTGTCCGAAAAGGACCCTCTCTCAGTAATTCCAACCAAAGGCCTAACATTTTTTTATCTAAATATCCAGGCCATTACAAACAAACTTGATGCTGTGAAACTCTTAATTTTAAATTCCACAATCAGTCGACAAAAAAGCAATATAATCTTCTGTTTCGCAGAAACGCATCTCAATCCCACTTGGTCTGATTCCGAAGTATCTATTGACGGCTATCATTGTGTAAGAAGAGATCGAACCACCTCCAAAGGTGGTGGTCTCATTGTCTATATTCCTTATGCTCTCAATTTTAACATTCGTTCTGATATTCAAGTTTCGGATGAATATTACGAAATAGAATACTTGTGGATTGAATTCCTTTTCCAAAATTCCAAATCCATTTTGGTTAATTTTCTTTAATTTATCAGCCGGATACTAGTAACAAGTGGAGAGCTCAATTTGAAAACTTGCTGTAAATAGCTGACAATGAGCATAAAGAAATCCTATACTTGGTGATTTCTATTGTAATGTGCTTGATAAAAGCAAATATAGATTCCTACGCCAACTCGTCTCACAATATCAGCTCAAACAACTAATTAATAACATAACACGAGCCGTCTCGGGAACTTTAATTGATCATATTTACACCTCTAATCATGAACATGTTTTAAGGAGTGGCATAATCGAGATTGGGCTTAGCGACCACTTCCCCATATATATATATATATATATATATATATATATATATATATATATATATATATATATATATATATATATATATATATATATATATATATATATAGCTCGTGAAGTTAATCCACACATATTTAGTAACCAGAAATATCACCAAAGTATAACTTACCGTAGAACTAAGCATTTAAATGTAACTCGGTTCTGTAGTGATCTTGAACTCTGCCTTCTACCACATTAGAAATATTTGACTCTCCTGACGATCAACTTGAAATATTTTATGAACATTTTAATTCGGTATTAAATACCCATGCACCTCTCATAAAAAAACGAGTCAAATCTAAGAAACGTCCGGGATGTTTTTGTGTAGAAATCCGCATAGCTCAACACAATCGCGATTACTATCTTAAAATGGCCCGGAAGAATGCGAATGATGCTCACAATACTAATTGGTCCCAATATAAGACTTGGCGCAATAGGTCTGTACACTTGATCAGGAATGCAAAAAACTCCTATATAAAAACACTTCTTAATGACAATTCTACGAATTCTAAACAAATTTGGCGAGTTTTGAAATCAACTATAAATCTTAATAAGGCTCCTCCCCCTCTATCTTTAGTTATTGATAATGTGAGATATGACAACCTTGCAATTGTCAGTAATCTCTTTAACGAATATTTTACCAACATTCAGGACAAGTTTGACATGAGTGAGGCTGTTGACTACAGTCAGTCAGCCTTCTCGTTATCTGTTAGGCAAACTAAATTTAGTATCCCCCCTATTACTATTGAGGAGGTTTCTGATTCCCTGAAACAATTGAACCCCTCTAAAGCGACCGGAATTGATGGTCTTCCCGCCCACTTCCTAAAGTTCCCTGCAAACATGATCTCCAATACTGTTACCACCCTATGCAACTTAAGCATCAGCACAGGTATCTTTCCAGCCTTGTGGAAAAAAGCAAAATTAATCCCAATACACAAATCTGGCGAAATGAGTGAAAGAGGCAACTTTAGACCAATTTCTATCCTGGTTATTCTCTCAAAAATCCTTGAAAGACATGTGTTTAGTTCATATTTTTTATATTTAACTGAGCATAAAATTCTATCCGATTACCAACATGAGTTCAGACCTGGCCACTCGTGTGAAACGTCATTAAACATGATTTACGAATACCTTGTTAACAATATTGATAATGGAGAAATTAACGGTGTTTGGATGCTTGACTTTTATCTATCTATCTATCATATAATATTTTGCTCCAAAAAATCCACGCGTACGGGGCTACTGACCTAACCCTAAAATGGTTCGCCTCGTATCTTGAAGGACGAACTCAACAGGTACAAATTAACGAAGTCCTTTCAGAACCTTTAACAATCATTACTGGGGTCCCTCAAGGTTCCATTCTTGGCCCGTTACTATATTCTTAATATTTATCAATGATCTTCCATCTTTTCTTACTACCTCTCATCCTTCTCATTTTGCGGATGACTCGGCTCTTTTAGCCCATGGCTGTGAGCTACCTGATATCAAAGCTTCTTTGTCGACTGATTTGTGTATTACCTCTAATTGGGCAAGCTAGAAGCAACCATATGGCTTTAAATTTTAGCAAAACCAAATTCATGAAAATTTATTCAATGCGTAAGTATTCATTGCTTGATTATGATAGCA